AGCAGCGCCCGCCATCGGTGATGTAGGCGCTGGTATTCAAGCCAGCCCTAACGTCTCCCGTCTCTTAAAGCGTTGGGGTCTCGGCCCACAGCTCGAGGAACTTGGCGTCAAACCACAGAATTTGAGCATTAGACGGTGTGAGTTACGATTAAATATCCTGGCGTTCTTGATTGACGTTAATCTCCAGGGAAGAACGACGAGGTCGTAGGGTTCACACTATTTGGGGAGGCGTTCGTTAATGCCTACGGTTCCCCTTATTACCACATACACGTTGAGTCCCTCTCCCTGATGCACCGATTTTGCCTGACCAAGTTAAATCAGCGAGCTGATTTTCACCGTATGCTCTATGTGGCAGCTGAGCCACACTGTAACATACGCGTTGATTGTCGTGTCGTGTCTGTGGACCCGTCACAACCTAGTGTGACTCTTGCATCTGGGGAGGTCGTATTTGCTGACCTACTCATTGGCGCCGATGGACTCAAAAGTATTACTCGGGAATATGTTGTCGGTGGACCCGATGAACCCAGGGCTACTGGAGACGCCGCTTACAGAGCCCTCATCCCGACCGAGAAACTCCTGGAGGATGATGACCTGAAATCACTGGTGGAGAATACTGAATCAATCATATGGATGGGCCCTAGAGGTCATATCGTCGGCTATAACATTGTAAGCAGTTCGGTCAAACATAGTCACCGATAGGAGCTAATGCGAGAGCTGCACAGCGTGCCAAGAAAGAATATAACCTCGTCATGATGCACCCTGATGAAGCTGAAGAGGGCCTGGAATCGTGGACTGCTAAAGGTAATGTGGAAAGAATGAAAGAGAGCTACAAAGGGTGGAACATTGTGTTAGTGACTCCATTTCGTTGCACCCGTTGTACCCATGCTAACTGGTGACACGCAGTATTCAAAAGCTTCTGGCGCTTGTTCCGTCAACGCTCGATTGGAAATTGATGGACCGAGACCCACTGCCTTCCTGGATTCACAAGGATGGTAAATTGGCCTTGTTGGGCGACTCATGCCACCCAATGCTGGTTTGTGTGAATTCTCCATTAAAATAGCGCATACTGAGTGTCATATCCCCCTAGCCGTACCGCGCGCAAGGGTCTGCCATGGCGGTAAGGAGGAGTGTCAACAGTAAAACGAGTGCTGACCTCAGAGTTATCTAGATTGAAGACGCTGCTGTCCTAGGCAACATATTCTCACACTGCTCGGATCGTTCGCAGATTACGCCGCTGCTCTATGCCTACCAAACTCTTCGGTACGACCGTGCTACAGCGACACAGAGGTCCTCAAGTCTGAACCGGGACATATTCCATCTCCTCGACGGGCCAGAGCAAGAGGCTCGTGATGGTGAGATGCGCGCGGCCATGGAGGACGCACTGCGCGTCGCCCGCGGCGAGAAGAGCACCTACGTGCTAGCAGGCAATGCGAACCAGTGGGCTGATAAGACGAAGAGCGATATCCAATATGGTTACGATGCGGATGAGGAGACAGAAAAGTGGTGGCTTGCGAACGGACATAACCTGATGAGCTTCGTCCCTACATCCGAGGCGGCGGTGAATTCAACAACTTGTGGCTGCTGCGCGTAAGTTCTGTAACTTGTACTAGAAGTGTGCATGTGTAATTAGAGAATGTGTTCACGGTGTCATATTAGATGTATAAATACCTTTTGCTACCCTGACATTGTGTTCGATGGCCTCTGGTTTGACGACGACGTTAGTGAAGGATGATCCTAATGTTCGAGCACCTGTACACCGATGCGTGGGAACCCTTTGGTATGACGTATGTGTGATGGGTCTGTACCTGTCTGCGTCGTCTCTACCTGAGTTTCTCTATAGGTATCCTTATTTTATTGATTGAACTTCATATTCAGAACATCTGTGTTTCTCTCAAAGTACCCCATAGCCAGCACGTCTCCTTGAATCTTCGATGCTGCAGATTGCCCGCCTCACAGCATCCTTCAAGATATCCTCTATTCTATAATACTTTGTAGCACCCGCGATATGAATCTGCATATGCAATACCCGAAAATGTTTGTTGTCGGTCCGAGTCATGAATGTCAACGATCGCTTGCCTGGACCTCCCACAGTAACGGCTGTCATGGTGTCGTATCTTTAATATTGTTCAAGAGGCTACTCAACAAGGTGCTCCTCCCAACTGCTGCCTCATGCATTACGTCCAGACTCGATGGTTTTCTTACACGGGTGCTTGCTATGCATAAAATTTGTTCTGTGTGATGTTGCACTGCGAGTTGGAACTAGGAGATCACATGGGCAAAATAAGGTACGCAGCGTCAATGTAATCATGCACATGTCTGATTTAACTTTTAAACGCACAGAGCTTGCAAGCATGTCGGATGATATCCTCTTCGAGTCTCTTGATGGCGCCTGTCCCACCTGCTTGCACAAGAACATGGGGCACCTTTGCTTGTATGGCCCTGAGGTGGCCACTAATCTACATACTCCTATCATCAGCGCATCTCTTCCTATCGCCTCTAAAGCCACATCTTTAATGTGCACTATACCTATTTCATGCAGGAGTGACTGTTTTGGGTGATGTTTATCTGTCAGATTCTCGCTCACGAGTTTGGTGTGCTCGTTACCGAACATCCATCTATCACAGGAAATTGTCTCACTCTGTCAAGCTCAAATCAGCCCGTATAGAACCGAAACAGAATACGCTGGCATTTGATATACTGTTTGCTGCCAATCCGAGTATCATTGTTTCATTTCTTGAAATCAGGGACTGGTACTTGCCCGGGCCAGCGCCGCTACTATCTTCGTTAGAGCCATGTGAGCAGAGTCACCGGATCATACATAACCGCATGTTCATTCTGAGGCCTTGGTAACAGAGTTAAATTGAGACCCACAAGCTCGTAAAGCACCTGAACCGCCTGTTCATTCTGAGGCCTTGGTAACAGAGTTAAATTGAGACGCACAAGCTCGCAAAGCACCTGAAGTGAGGGTGTTTGAAACTTTGTTTCCAAGATTAATGTAATGTGTCAGAATGTTGCATATGAAAGAGAAACCGCAGGTATACGGTAACTACACGGAGCTTGTCACCAGAGTAGGAGGTTCGTAATGTTGTGTCAGAAAAGAGCGGGTTCGTCTATTGCCGGGACGCTATACTAGCGGACCTTCAATGTACGATTATGATCCGTCTCGGTGGTTCATTAGTTCCTGGCTGGCTTTCGATCCTATCGTTCTACCACCGCAGTATAATCCACTTGGTGCTTTCCTTCTGGAACTTCGCTGGAACTCTCAGATCTAGCTTAGGGTGTTGCCGATAGAACCACAGATCCCGTGTTTTGGATGGTAGGCTTCTCTATGGGCATATTGAACGGCTTGGGTCTGCGGCGTATCTTGAGCACTTGACAGATGGAGATTACCTTGATTCCGATGGAAATTTGCAAAAGTGTGCATAATCCCCTTTGTTAGTGCTCAGGCCTTTGACAAGGCTACATCTGTCACTTGTTAATCGGTAGAAATTACACTAGTAAACTCTTACAATTGACTCCTGAGTGCATCGTGAAGTTCAAAGAGCAATTCCGCTTTTCACGAATGTAACCCCCTGTAACTTGACATGATTGTTGATTAACATGATATACGATTAATATCATCTTTGACAAGATTACGGCGGTGCACCTATAGATTGAGAATTGAATAAATTAAATCAGATTAATTTGAGACAGAGAGGAGCCGCACAGAGATGGTTTAAACAGTTGATTAATAGAAGCTACGACTCAAATGCATGTATGTCTAGACCTTAGATCTATGAAGAGCATAAATCAAACTTTAAAATCAATAAATTCTATAGCACACACCATCTACCCATTCTCGAACGTGCAGAAATTTATTAATGAGCAGCGCCGTATGCAAACGAGTGAAATGAATGGTGGCAGGCATACCACAAGGGCAGGCGGAATGTGCGGAGGAAGTGCAGACAATCTGCAATAAGTAGCGGACCGCGGTAGGTATGAACGAGAGAATGAGGGACGAGTGCAAATGAATAAGGACAAACAAATACAAGTGACGGCAGGATGATCTAAGAGGGGAGTAATAATGAGTGGCAGCTGGTGCAAATGAGCAGGGACAAGCTTAAACAAGTAGAAACGCACATGGACGAGTGAAAACAAGTCCGAAGAAAACACACAGAGACAAGCGCGTCACCGGAGCAGCACAGATGTGCGATGCACATGTACTGGTAGGACAATCGCGAGGGAGGAAACAAAGTTCTATACAGTTGCTATCACCCTGCTGCAGAAACGCCATTATCACGCATATAATACTTACATGAATTGATGGGTTTTCCAAAAATTTTAGGGCGTGCTGACGCACGGCACGCCGTCATTAAACTCCATGCTAGTTGTGAGGAGTTAAAGGTGGAAAGTATATGGAGATGGTGGCAACTGTTCAGACCATCTTGCGGAGGCTGGAAAAATATAAAATATCATTGACTGGCCGCGGCAATGAATTACCAGATGGGCTGGTCAATGATGCGGCAGTAGAGCTGTTATGGACTTTGAGGGGTTGGACAGCCAAGCGAATTGAGGGAAATAAGAATAGAAAATAAGCATCAGAAGCTAGAATACATAGAAAAGCTGTAAAAATACCGCAGTTGTGCCTTCCTCGGGCATTTGTGTTTGCGAGGAGTCTTATGTGGGTAGCAAGGGATGTCGATGAATGCTTCGAGAAAGTCAGTAACGTCGTCGAAGGTAGTCAGGGCGTTCCGTTAGTATAGGTATTCAAAACACCTATCTCATATATAGTAGTTGGACCGCCCACAAACCGCCAAGATTACCAGGTAATTTGCTGATTTGGGGGGTTGGAGGTCTACGCTGCAAGATGTCTTGTCGCAACGATAGGAGTCATTAACCTAAGACTACCTTGCATGCATTTGACGCTTGCCTAGAATCGAAGTCCAGTATACATAGTCTGTTGCATTACGATGGGCAGCGTGGCGCCCAAAACTTGTGACGCCCAACGCTTAAGTCACAGTGTCAAGCCTAAGCTCGTCTTAGTCAGCAGCTGGCCCGTGACGCTACGGAGTCCGTGGGAGCTCTCACTTGCAACTCACTTGAATGCTCAATATGTTGTCCATCGCAAAATCTGCCCTGCGGCCCTCTCTGGCTCGGGCGTTCGCCACTCCCGCAACTAGCATGTCTCTCCACACTCTTCCGGACCTGCCTTATGCTTACAATGTTGGTGTCTTTTCATATATGAGCGCGGAGGATGCACCTGAAGTTTAATGGTTTAGGCTCTTGAGCCATACATCTCCGAGACAATAATGAAACTCCATCACACTAAGCATCATCAGACCTATGTCAATGGACTTAATGCTGCAGAGCAAGCTTATGCGCAGTCACCCTCCGTCAAGGAGAAGATTGCCTTACAGTCAGCACTGAAATTCAACGGCGGCGGTAAGGTTCCAAGGCTTTCTGTCTTGAAAGCTTGACTTCATGTCATATAGGCCACATCAACCATTCGTTGTTTTGGAAGAATCTTTCGCCCGCCAATGCTGACGGTGGCAACCTTTCCGACGGTCCTCTGAAAAAAGCCATCGAACGTGACTTCGGATCCGTGGAAGAATTTAAGAAAAAGTTCAATGCTGCTACAGCAGCTATCCAGGGCAGTGGATGGGGATGGCTCGTAAGACATTTTACAAATCGCATGATTTATATTGTTGACGTTAGCCTGCGAAGGGCTACAACTCCGTCACCAACATGCTTGAGATCGTTACGACCGCCAACCAAGATCCTTTACTTTGTACGTGGGCACTGAAATCTGTCTGTATACCCCTGACCTACTTACGCAGCTCATACACCCATTATCGGCGTTGACATTTGGGAGCATGTAAGTGTGACTGGTCATTAGCTTATGACAGTACACTGACGTCATCCGTTCACAGGCTTTCTACTTACAGGTATGCAACGACCTGGATTGAGATATATTTCACATTCATTTTTTTTTTCCTTTCACAGTACCAAAATGTCAAGGTAGATGTATGTGTCCCTCTCTTTGTTCGAGGATTACGGCTGACATGCACGTAGTACCTCGCTGCAATTTGGAACGTCGTCAACTTCAAAGAGGCAGAGCAAAGGTTGGCCGAGGCTACCAAGTAGCTCACTTGGTTTTTTTGCGTCGTTGCATAGTAAACTTCCGTCGCACAATGTGATACGTTCTTATGAAGTTGAACTACGCGTTGAAGTTGCAGTTAAGTGCCTACATATGTTGTCCACTTCCACTATATTACCTGCAACGAAATCCAGCTTTTTCGAGCTCTAGTGGAATACAAACCTTCCGTAGAAAACGGATTATACAGCAGTTTTCAGGGGAACAGTAATCAAGGTGTATTTCAGGTGTATTTCATGACAGCTGCTCTGCAGATTCCCCGATGAGGAGTTGGCAAGTTCAAGGTGTTCCAGACTATAACAGATAATTCACAGGGTAGGGAATTGACCCCGTCAGAACGTCGGCAATGTTGCACATGTTCAGAATGCCTATTCTGCAACTGTCTAGCATGGAACGGGCTAATCATATATCCAGCACTGCGTCTGGGCGTTTACACACAGTTCGTTTGCTATGATTTACGCAACTTCAGTTCATCCGAGGTTCGGTAGATGAACTAGCCCGATAGTTATGTGAGTGTTCTGCAGGGTCATGGCTGGGGCGGGCCCCGCCCCAAAATTAACTGTAGGTGCTGAAGCCTTCTCAGGCTGCAAATGATTGAAAATACCCGATGGCTCTTAACCATTGACATCCGTCGTCATTTGGTCCCAAGTTGCCCAAGCAGGCGTGGACTCTGGCGGAAATTAGGATCTTGAGGTTTGATAGATATTTTGTCCACGAATGACAGGGTACTTTCATCATCAACTAATAATCGCAAATGCAGTCGATATTTCCTGCTGATCCCCGTGGGCGATCATCAATAATCTTCTGGACAAAGTAGGTGCCTTATCCCCACGTCCACGTACGACAAGGAAACCCCAAAAATCGTGCATGTATGCAATGTACATTCTTCGAGAGCAAGCCATCTACGTGGTGAATATAGGCGACTATCCAGTAACCTCTTCCTTGCCGGGGTATTTTGGCACACGAGCTTTATTTGAAATGGCATGCTAAAGCGTACTAGATGGGCCAAATATAAAGTTTTCATTTCTCTATCTGCCTGATATGACTGACGTCGCTATAGAGGCCCTGACGTACTGACGTGCCCTGACATGCGCACAGCCTTTCCTTCATTATTATGTTTCCTTTCACTCTTAATATAGACGATACATAGAGCCTCCTGAAGCTTCCTGAGTCATCCGAGTGAGCTAAGTATCGCTGACCATCGATTACGAGACTGACACCGTCGCACCGCAGGATAGGCTCACTTCTACCACTATGTATGTATATTGCTGCAGGTAACCGAGAGTATTCTCTCAGGGACATCCCTTGTTCAATTTCCCCAAGGCCCGCCGCCGGTTAAGTAGTAATATCCCTTGACATAGTATCCGAGGCGGCGGGGGTGGCGCGATCCCTCGCGATCCACGTCCAGCTAATCCTGGCTGATCGCAGATATGTGATGATAAAACGTTCCCAGACACTGACACTAGTATGCAGATCCATGTCTCGTTATTGTTGAGAAGTGGGACTGAGCACAAGGAAAGGATCTTGATAGCGTCGGAACGCACCGAGTACATAGCTAGCTAGATCGTCATCAATGAACCATGTCACCACTCAAGTACTAACTGATGGTGGCGAAACCCGCTAATGTAGTTGATCATTAAGATAGATCGATTGGGTTATGATTAATCTGATCCCTTCATGTCGGACCCAGCGCGTTTCATTTCATCGTGCTCCCATCTGCCAATATTCAGCGCTAACCGGCACTAGGTAGCATTTTTGAATCCCGAGAAATGATCAAGTGATGGGCCTAAGTTAAAATTGATTGGGCATTCGACTTTGTAAATTGTTAGCCTTGTGTGGTCAGTCCTGAATCAAGAACACACGAACACTGCATCATGGTTTCAGGTAGTATGGTGTGGCGACAAGTGGGCGACGTGTTGCCACCAATTGGTCTCACAGCTCAGTGTTTAGCAATTCAACGTCTCATTTCATGAGATTCAGCCTGAGCTCCTCGCCGGGTAATATTAGATTGAGGAACGTTCTTGACATTTGATTGTGGAGAAATGCATATGGTGTTTGTACACTATAGGAGGAAGTTTTCTAGGCCGAAAATCGAGAAGGACTCATAGCGTCTGGCCAGATCGGATGTGATTTCATATTAGAGTTCTTCCCGGACTTTCCGCAGTTCTCTCGGCCACAGGTGGTTCGCTGGGCGACGACACCGAGATGATTGTAATAAGAACACCTTATGTCCATGACTCAGGGCTTGAACTGATAGATCCATGGATTTGCGGCAGAGACTAAAACATTTCGAGGAAAGCGAGCCTCCATACCGCACGTAAACGAACCTTCACACTATACATTGGTGTTGGTAACCGGACACACAGACAAACCCCTATGTCGCCTCCAGTACCTTCAATGTGGGACCCGTGTCTAGCGGGATACGCTGCACACATCGTTCGAACAAGAAATTAACGGATCAAATAACGATAAAAGAGAGAGATGTGAAGGCTAGAAGGGGCAAACGATACAACATATTCACGCCGTCAGCCGTCACCGGTCACCCACCGATTCGGTATAACGTGGAAGAAGACCAAACGCAGCTAAGCTTGATCACTGCTACGGAAGATCTTGGCTGACCAGGGCGATGATAGTCGGAATCGGCAAAGGTGTCGAGGTCATCATCAATCTGTATTTGCTGCCCTGACCCAAAAGACAAGGTGACCATACAGATTTAGCACAGATCGATCTCTGTGCGAGACCCCGGCCGAGTCTTGAATATTTGGATCCTGATGTTCGTAATAATCATATCTAATCCTTGTACTCGGGCATCGTCATAGAATGACGGCAGGCTGGCCAACTAGTAAGTACCGACGCGTGCAAAACGTGTGTACCCCACATTTTTGGCATCTGAAAATCCGATTCAGTTTGAATCTGACCGAATGTATACATGCACGATGCACCAGCGCGCTGTTATGCTCGCTGTTAGCGACGAGATATTTGGTGCGGCAGGGAGGTCCGACTAGCCGCCGACCAAGCATGAAGTATATTCCGGTATATTTACCCAGTGGGAAATCGGCATTCGGAATAATGGTTCGATTGGTACAATCACAGCAACTTCCGAAGACGAGTCTCGACGTTGTGGGCCTCAAATCAGAGTGGTTCGTCGTCCGGTATTAGCTGTGAAGATTGCACGACTGGTACTTGTTCACCGAAAAGAAGGCTCTCAAACCAGCTTAAACCACGCTGGCGGCACGTTGCTACCTCGTGTTCTTCTCATGCCGTTCACACATCCCGGCATATGGTCTTAATGAAAAGTTTGGTCGGTTGGCGCTGTCTCTTGTCTTTCTCGCTATAATGCGGCGCAAAGCACAACCGAGCACTTGTCAGCATCCGCGTTTCAAGTTGCAGAAGTCGGACCCACACTTCTATTCCCGTCACCACCCTTAGATCTAGATTCCTTGCCAGGTGACAACTACACAATGTGAAGGAGAGTCAGGTCGCCGATCTCCTTTAATCCATCAAGGAGATCAAAGAATGAGATCAAGCATCTCGCATTACAAGACAACGTGAGCCTAGACGTCCCGGCTCAAGCATCGTAGACATATTCGGTGAGTCTTTCCGTGCCCTTCGCAATCAAAGATATCCCAGAATTTCCTCATCCATCCTCATTTGAGCACCCCTCAAACCAGTTAGAACCAACTGACATGTCAGCAGGCTTTACACTCTTCTTATCTCCAAGACACCGACCGGTTGCCGATTTTGGAATCAATCAAGGGTGCCAATGGGTCGTCCTTCACGTGTATATGTGTAATGATATACTACTAGCGACGATGATGCATGTGGGCGTCGCCTCCTCAATTTATGTCTTTTTTATGAACTTTCGTTTAAGTCCAGCTTCGGATAGGACTTATGAAGACCCCTCCCTTTCGGTTTTTGAATAAGAAGGGCCAGATCTTCTCTCCTCCTCCACTGTAACCCAAGTACCCATTCTCAGCAAGTCTGAGCTGTATATTCTGTGTAACACTGTCCTCATAATCATCATGCAACGATTCGAATCCCTTCCGCCGCAGTTTTACCTTCAGGATCTAACCGCCATCACTGGCCGGGTCTGCGAGCTCAGAGTCAATCCCCACCAAGCCGAGGCCGACCGTGCAGCGCGTTCATGGTTCACCCAGTGTGTATCATTCACTGTCTATGGGTTATATTTGCTCTAACACAGTTTTAGAATAAGTGTGTACAATGATAGGATGAAGTCAAAGTTCCTCAACTACGGCAAATTCGATCTCTTTGCCGCGTTAAGCTTTCCAGATGCCGACTCCATGCATCTTGAAACTTGTCTTATGTTCTTTTTTTGGGCTTTTTCGGTGCGCAAGCTAGTCGTGATTCATGAGGTTCTATCAATTCTCATCCTGAATTTTAGACCGATGATCTTTCTGATGAAGGCGACATGCAGTCAAAACCTGACGCAGTGCAAGCTGGACATGACATCTCTGTCAGTGTTTACACCAACCCAGACAGTTCCCGTCCACAATATCCATATGCTGCAATGTTATACGAGTATGTATTCTTGTTGCTAAAACCTGTGACGTTACTGATGCCGGTTATCTAGCTTGCTAACGCGATTCCGCGGGACATCTACCATTGGAGCCTATCAACGGCAAGTCAACGCTGTAATTTAAGGGCTTGTATTCTGATGTGGAACCCCGTTCAGGTTCATTAGGGCATTTGAGGCCTGGAGTAGCTCTCAAGTAACACAATCTCGCAACCGTTCTCAAGATCGAATGCCCTCGGTTGACGAATTTATTCTCATGCGTCGTGCGACTATCGGCGGCGCTCTTGTTGAAGGTGAGAATATTTCGCATCCCCCTCGGCCTTACATGTTGCTGAAAGTGTCACTTCAGCTATGGTCGAGTATTCTCTTGACCTGGATCTTCCGGACATTGTCTTTGAAAATCCTATCATCAAAGCGATGTCAGACGCGACAACCGACCTTATGACATGGCCAAATGTTCGTTATTCATTCATTTGATCTTTTGACTTAGAGGCTCATGTTTCCTCTTGGAACAGGACCTTTGTTCTTTTAATGTGAGGAAAACGATATTGACCACTACTAGATCATACTAAC